GCCTTTGGGTCTGGCCTGGGTGGCTGTGCATTGGGCTGGGATTCCAGTCGGCTGCTAGGAGCATGCCTGCTCCCTCTGGCTCCGTTGCAGGTGCGCACGGGGCTCTTCCACGCAGGCTTCTACTGGGCTACTTTGGCTTCACTGCCGCTGGTGTGCGCAAGCCGTGCCCGGGCTGTTCGGTTGCGCCACTGCAGGCTAGCACAAGCCTCTCCTGCAGCACACGGATCTGCTCTCGGTCCCTTCCGGCGCTGCCGTCCCCGGCGCGCGCTTCTACTCTTCTGCTACTGGGCCGGTGTGTTGGGGTCTGCGCCAGTTGGAGGAATGACTGGCAGGCTGCTTATTGCTGTGAGGGGCTTCAGAGCTGCACTGCTTCCCTGGGGTTTAGGGCGCCTAAGTTTCCCCGGTATTCCCAGCTGCTGGGACAACTTTGTCCAGCTATGGGGTCCCTGTCTCTTTAAGACTTGCAGAAAGCACTTGCTTTTCTTTTGTCTCAGGGGCGCCAATTGCGGGGACCTGCCCACAGGTTTTGCTTATCCATTTCTCTAACATCCAGCACCCCGTGCACCTTGTGTCTGTGTTCCGGGTGCGGATTTCTAGAGCTGGTTGTTTAGCAGTCCTGGGCTTTCACTCCCTCCCCGTTCCAACTCCTTTCTTCCCGCCGGGTTTTGGGGTGGGGGAGCGTTTGGGTCCTGCCTGGCCGTGGCTTGTATCTTACCCCCTTTGTGTGATGTTGAGTTCTCACAGATGTAGATGTATCCTGGCTGTTGTACTGCATCCACTGGTGTCTCTTAGGAATAGTTGCATTTATTGTATTTTCATAAATATTTATGTTTTGGGGAGGAGATTTCCTCTGAACTACTCATGCTGCCATCTTCCCGTGATCCTCCAATGGGCTGCATCTTGAGACCAACATGATGAACAAGGAATTTATTATCTGGGGGTGGGGAACAGGAAGTAGATGTTCACAGGCAACTCAATAAGCTTAAAAATGAACTCATGATTTTTCTTTGTAAATGTCTCCTTTACATACTTTCACCATTCAAACTTCCTAGAGTCATCCCAGACATGAAGTCAGAACTTAGACGTTTTTCTCTGCCTCCCTTTTGCTCATCCACAAACTCTTGGCTAAGTCTTTTTGAGTCTTTATCATAAGTTTCTTTTAATCTGTTCCTTCTCCTTTCCTGCTGTTCTTGCTCTAGCTCTGATCCTTGCTGTCTTTTGCTAGTTTATTGTGTAATGTCCAAAATGGTCTCTTCTCCTCTGACATACAACCAGCATCCACTGCCCCACCCTGCTCTGGCCATACTTCTCTTATCACAAGAGTGATCTTTATAAATCCAAATTCAACCTCATATTTCTCTGCTAAAATCCCTTTAAATGCTCCCTTCAGTTCAGGAAAAATCCAAACACCTTGTTATACATCACAGGCCCTTCTGGCTGGGTTCCTGCCCACTTTCCAGCCTCACTTCCTACTGTGCCTCCCCAGCCACCACCAGCAGCCGCAAATGCACATCCTTCACTCCAGTAACGAGTAACAGAATTTCTCAGAGGTTGCATGAAAATTCAGTGCAAATATTCCCTCCTTTGGGAAGGCATCTAACATGGTCTCCAGGCAGGGTGGACTCATCATTTTTTTCTTTTAGCCACCACTGCACATTACACATAATAATTAATATAGCTACTGATTATCAAGCATTTGCCAATTCTGACATCATGCTACACACAGAACCAATAACAATACAGCGCTTAAGGATATGAGCTTTGGAGATAGTAAGATGGGCTCAAATCCCAATCTGTCATGTGTTGTTTAGCAGAATGATCTAGGGCAAGTTACTGAAACTCACTATAGCTCCATTTCTTTACCTTTAATATGGAGCTAATAAAAGCCTTTTCATTCAAAATTATTTATAAGGATTAATGAGGCAACCTACATGCTAATAACTCAGCATGGTATCTGATACATCATAAGCTATTATTAAGTTGAAGTCATATTGTTATTATTATTAGACTTTTTTATACATCATGGAGAATTTGCCCAAAAACCCTAGAGTTTTCATCTCCATTTCACAACTAAGGAGGTAAGGTTATTTGCCCCAAGACATATAATTAGAAGGCAGCAAATTGAGAGTTTAAATACATACCACAGAACACCCTTATAGGCCTCATGGCATTGTGTGAAATGCATTTCCTGGGTACTATCTCTCCACCTGGCTGGGAACTCCCCAAGGGCAAAGACTTAGTCATAGTTATATTTCACACAGGAGAATTTAAGGATAGCTATAATGCATCAAAGCATAGCTTTGATGCAGCCAACACAGACTGATGACTGCGAGGTTCCAGTCCCTGGAGAGGGGAGAAGTGGCTGGTGCAGGCACGGTGGCAATGGAACCAGAGCCACCACCCCAGGTTCCTGAGTCACTCACTCATCGCTTCTATCTGCACATGGATGAGGTTCTCGATGTCCTCCTGCAGGGTCTGATGGGGCTTCAGGGGGATGGGCAGGTAGCCATAGTGCTCTCTGTTGCAGAGGTACATCTGGACACCTGAGGACCCAAGAGAGGGACAAATCAGAAAACACACTTCTTCATTCTATAGTGACAGCTAAGGATAAAGAGACTGGACTGGCTGAGTTTGAGTTTGGCCCTGAAATCAAACGAGTAGTTGTTGCTCCAGACACTGTAGATCTAAAAAATGCTCCTTTATTTAAAAAAATAGGCTAAAAAAACCCTAAGCCGTTCTTAACTCAGAGGAAATGATTTCTCTTCTCTGAAGAAAAAGCATACTCATGGCCAGAAATGCACATGAAAGGCATGAAGGGATCAGAAAAAGAGGGATTCCCATTCCTTTCCATTCCAAAGAACAAAATGGAACACTGTAATCCACCTACAGGAAATAACAAGAAAATGAGGAATAAAATCCACATGCGATATGAAAGCAAACAGGAAAATCCTGCAAGGCTAACAGATTATTAAGTTAAATCTAGCTATGTGTAGAAAAAACAACAACAAAAGAAACAAAGGAAATTCAGAATTCTCCTTGACTCTCCTTGGTTTTATGTCTTCTCTTGGCAGACATGGATTTGGAACCCAACAATAGACAGGAAAATTGTATAATAGACTCATAAAGAGTCGAACACAAGTCTGCATTTCAAGTCCTGTTAAGAACTGGCAGTGTGGCAATACCAGAAACATGCCACAGCCCTCCAGTACACAACACTGGCCTTCATGGCTCCCAGGAGTTATTCGGCATCTGTGTTCACCTAGGTAGCTAGGAATATAGGAATCAGGAAGGTCTCAGAGGTCCAGCAGCTGACAGCTCTGACTAATGAAAAGACTGCTTAGTTAAAGGATGAGTCTGCCAACCTCCCAACCTCTGGTCCCTGTGTCCAAGCTTCTGATTTGTTAATTACTATAATCTTCTATGCTTTCCTGAGAGAGATGTATCTGCATAGTGGCTTCTTTATTTTGTGCAGATGAAATTTCCTCCAGTCAACTGCATCCCCTATCAAGTCAGGTAAAGCCATCTCACAGCATTAACAGAGAAGAACGGGAAAAGAAAAGCGCTTTTATCCTCTTCTCCACTGAATCTGGCTCTGATCAGGGCTGGCCCAGTGGCACTGTCACTTCTCTGGCCTTCACTGAGTGAACTGTCGAGCTCTGCTGCTCGCCATGTGGACACCTCCGAGGAACTTCAGACTAAAAGGTACCCTCTTGCAGAGTTGTGACAACTTTGGAAAGCACAAGGAAAATGATTTAATATTTAGGTTGCCTCCCTACCCTAGTTAGGCAAGTCATCTTGCCATTCAACTTTCCAAAGCTTCAGGAACAAGGGGAGGTGAAACCCAGCCAGGCTGTCCATCAAGTGTGGGGACAAGAAAAGCATTTTCAGCCACGCGAGGTCAAAAATATTTACTTCCCATCACACCTTCTTGGAAAGGTACTGGATGATGTGGAAGGAGGAGAAAGAAGAGGAGGATGGGGGAGGACAGAGGAGGAGGAGAAGGGTTACAAAAAAAAACACAGGGAAGACTTGAGGCATGTTATAAACAGGAGAGTCAGCACGGAAAAGAGGAGTCCCGTGTTGATAGCTGGGACACCACCCGGGTTAGAGTGATAGCAGAAGGCGAGACATCCTCATAAACATGCAGAAAGAACATCTGACGAAGTCTGACCGTCCTCAGAGGAGTTTAGGACAATTAGGGATTTGTTCTGGGTTGTATTAGTAACAGTAAAACTAACTTTTCAAAGGTGATTTTTGTTAATTTAGATAAGAAAGGAAAATTAACCGTAGTCTATAAATGGTAGGACTTTCTCAGCTCTGCCTTTTTTCTGACCACCAATCTACCTTAAATTACAGGGAGACCCTAACTCCTCATGTCTGCAGTGCAGAGTCAATAGATGATGCCTAAAGTAAAGCCAGGAAATCAGGAAGGAGCAATTCAAATATGTTATGTAGAAACATGGAGGTAAATATTATACTTGTACTATCATCTGGAAGAGTTAAAAGTGTCTGTTTTCTCAAAGAAGGAAATGGTAGGGGGACAGGTGCTTGCAGGGGACTTCAATTTTGTAATAAACCCTGGGAAGCTATTTGAATTCTTCCAACTATGTGCATAGATAATTTGATAAAAATATAAAAATTATAAAAGGAGATGTGTTGATGCTTACATAAAGTCTATGAAGGAATCTGGCACTCTCAGTGAAAACTGCTTCTGGAGAAAACAATATTCTCTTTGAAAAAAGATGATGACTGATACTCTAACATGAGGAACTGTATTTCTCTTATGAAGAAATCAGATGTTTTCTTGTACTCACATAGGACCTTAATATTGCAGCTTGATATGCTCACCATTATCCTTTGTAATGAAAAATCAGACTTAGAGAGGCTATGACTTGTCCAAAGTCATATAATGAGTCCTTAGTGCCATTGCCAGATGTCATCCTACCCTCTGAGTCTCAGAACTAGTAATCATTCTGGATTGCAAACCGTGTCCACGGGAGCCCCAGTGATGTGCAGATCACTTGCCTCTTTTGACCCACCACAGACATTTGGAAGATGACTGACTGGCACCAGAGGAGATTTCTGTGGCCATAACACAGAGTTCAAATCACTGGCCACAGTGGGACATGGATTCCTAACCCTGGCCTGATTGTAGCCACAGAGACCTGCTCCTGACCCCTGTGCTCTCTTCTCGGGCTACACGAGCAGCCTTGCCCCAGCACACCTGGATCTCCCTTCTCACTCATCACCCGTGTGTGGCAATGACTGGAGTCAGAGGTGAGAGATTAAGGATCAAGGTGTGTGGTTAGATGGCCTGATGGGGACATGCAGACCATTTATTTCCTTTGGGGTATTTAAAAAATGTTGCTCCAACAGATATTCACAAGAGTGAGAACAAAAGAATACAAACCATCGTTCATAAAGACTCTCAAGGGAGCAGGCAAGTGGTTTGCTTCGAATCTCAGGATGCAAGAGCGTGGAGACACCTCATGAGCTGTGTAGGACACCCAGGCTCACTCATGTCCCTCCTGAAAATGCTTCAAGATAAGTTCAAGTGCTATCTCAGAACCACATGACTGTCAGCAAAGCTCCTTCGTTCCCTGAAATGACAGTGATTCTTTTCTGCTTGACTCCTGCCTCAGCTGTCCCACTGATCTAGCCCTCAGCTTTCATGGTTTCATAACTGTTACTTATGTTTCCACATGTAAGAATCTTACCTCCTCAGCAAACAGAGCCTGACACCATGTTAGGCACAAAAGTAAAGCCTAGAGTATCAATCCTCTCTCCTTCCTTTCCTGCTTCTCCTCTTCCCAGCTGAATCGCCAAACAGCTTTGGGCCTCTGCACCTGTTTTCAATGTCCTGGGAAGTCTGACCATAAAGAATGAAGTCCAAGTGAACAGGCCAAGCAAAAGGCAGAACTGAAAAACCCCTACCCACTCGTGCCACTCTTCTTGCTCCAAATCCAATCCTTGATTTAAAAAATACACCATAATAATTTAGTGCATGGGCCACAATAATGCCTTGTGCAATGGCTATTAAGGAGGACTCTGTTAGGCAAGGATCATTATTGTAATTGCTAATGGTTCACTTTCTTGGAACATCCTTACTTCAAGCTCTGAAGCAAAATAACTGGCACAATGCAAAGGAAGGGGAAGGCCCTGGGTCGGCTTCCGGTCCTGGAGAAGTCAGAGCACATCACAGACCAAAGGGAAAGAAGCAGTTTCCATTAACACTGACACAAGAACCTTCATGAAAACTTCCATCCACATGAGGATTCTTGCTTCTGCCCTGACCCAGGCATAAAAAATGCCTACATGTGGCTGAAGGATCTGAAAGGCTCCAGCAGCCAAGGGGAAAATCAGCCTTCCACATTTCCACCAAATATTCTCATTCCTACCAAATCTACCACTGATGAGTGGGACACCTAAGGCTTTAAAGATGACCCGGTGGGAGAGTTGTAGCTTGAACTGGTATTAACATTCTCACTGCTGGCAACCTGCCTCAGCTGACTGGGATGTTGGCATGATCCCATCCACCCTAACTTACATGGCCATGTGAATGTATTCACCATCTGCCAGGTTTCTAAACTCACTGTTGCTAGTGGTTAAGGGGCACATTACTGGTTTATTGATAAGGGGCTTGACTTCTGTCAGCAAGGCGTGAATGACCCTGAGAATGAAGGTTTGCTTTAGGAATGTCATGTATCTTCTGGATGAACTGCTTTGGCGAATTACATCCTCCCAACTGCAGGTGACAGAAGAGAAATACAATTCAGTTGGCTTCCTTAAAAAGTCTACTGATCTGTGGATAAAGTGAAGGTTCCTGTGGCCAGGATTCTCACCTGGCCCTGGTTGGCTGGCTCACTACACAGGTGTGGGCAATACGTTGTTATTGACTCTATATAAAGAGCTCCACCCAGTGCTCTGGGCAACACAGTGGCATGGCTGCAAGGCTGCAGGAGAGCAGAACAGACAGCTAAGGGGGCAGAGAGGCCAAGACCAGCTTGCTGCATGCAGACTTGCTCTGAGTGGACGGGATTCTAGTGACTGACCTGCCACCGTGGAAATGAAGTTAGATGTAACCCTTTCACCCCAAGAACATTCTACTCTCATTTCTTTGGTCACATTGAATCCATAGTGAACTTGCCTGGGGCTGAAACCCTATTTTCAGGAGGGACGTGAGTGAGCCTGGAAATCCTACACAGCCCATGGGGTGTCTCCAGGCTCTTGCATTCTGAGATTCAACAGGCTGCCCTCAAGAAGGAGTGTTGCAGTGGGCTGCACCTATGGACAGGGAGACACATTCGAGTGTCCCCGAGTGGACATGTGTTAGTGGGAAGGGGTGGAGGTCTGGGCTCCACCCCAAGAGAAAGAAAATTTGTTGGTGACTGAAATGGCGTCACTACGAAGTGCTGTGGAAATGGTAAAGGATGTCGTGGGAGCCCAAGAGGAAGCAGCCCGAGAAGGAGCAGCAGCCTGAGAAGAGCAGCACAAGAGCGCAGGCTGCCCGGTGCTGGGGGGCGGGTCGAGGATGTAGTGGAGCTGTCAGCCCCGGAAAAGGAGGAGCAGAGGTCTGACTAACAGGTGGGGGTGGAGGCCCCTCCTCGGTGGAGACCCCACCTGGTTGAAAGCTGGTAGAGAGCGTGAAGGACTCGGCAACTGGGGGTTCTTCCAGGAGAGGTGCAGCCCCCTCGTCAGGTCGTGGAGCACTCCACGCTCTGCTTCTGTCCTCAGGTTCAAGCACAAAAGGAAATACAGTCTGCTTCTTGAACGAATTTAAAGGGCCCTGTGAAGGTCACAAGGACCCAGATGTGGGTTGGTTTGAGAAGGCAGGAGCAGACAGAAGGAAACTGGACTGGAGCCATGGCAATAACTGAAACCAGAGCAGTGGTTCCGGCTGCTGAGGATGAAGCAGAAGGCAGAGATAAAGCAACAAGATCGGCCTGTGTGTCTGCAAGACTCTGCTGGGGAGGCTGGAGAAGGTGGGTATTGTAAGGCCCACCCATGGTTCTTTTACAGTGTTCCAGCTTCCTTGGACAGGGACCATTGCAGAAGATTGAGGGCACATAGATTGAGAGGAGAGAATCCTGGAGGGGTGGAGTGTGGATAAAGTGAAGATTCCTGTGGCCAGGATTCTCACCTGGCCCTGGTTGGCTAGCTCACTACACAGGTGTGGGCAATGTGTCATTAACTCTATATAAAGAGCTCCGCCCAGTGCTCTGGGGGACACAGTGTTAGAGCTGCAAGGCTGCAGGGGGCAGAGATAAGACTGGAGTGGTGGCAGTGCCGAGGTCAGAGACTGAGACGGCTGCAGGGGCAGAGAGGCCCAGAGACCCAGAGGCAGAGACCTGCCTGCTGCATGCAGACTCACTGAATGGATGGGATTCTAGTCACTGACCTGCCACTGTGGGAATAAAGTTGGGTATAACTCTTTCCCCCAAGAACATTCCACTGTCATTTCTTTGGCCACATTGAATCCATAGTGAACTTGCCCAGGGCTGAAACCCATCAGCAAAACAAGACCCAGTGGAAATGCCACCTCAGTGGTTCATGAAAGACGTTAAGTCTGGCTTTGCCTTTCCTGCCATGGGGCCTCTGGTGGAGGCTGTTGGTTGCCTCCGCTGATCTGTCCTCTCCTTCTTCCAGAGTGACAGTGTCTTGCCAGTGGGTTTCAGCCCTGGGCAAGTTCACTATGGATTCAGTGCGACCAAAAGAATGACAGTAGAACATTCTTGCGGTGAAAGGGTTATACCCAACTTTACTCCCACAACGAACGGCAGGTCAGTCACTAGAATCCTGTCCACTCAGAGCGAGTCCGTCTCCACCTCTTGGCCGCAGCCCGCACAGCTGTCCCCATCTCTGTCTTGGTGCTGCCACCACTCCAGCCTCTGCAGCCTTGCAGCTGTGCCACCATGTCACCCAGGGCACTGGGTGGAAATCTTTATATAGTCAGTAGCAACGTATTGCCCACACGTGTGTAGTGAGCTAGTCAACCAGGGCCAGGTGAGAATCCGGGCCATAGGAACCTTCACTTTACCCACAGACAGGACTGGGGCTCTAGACTGCGTAGAGTAAAGACAACACTCTGACCCTCCCTTTGTGCTGGGTGTTATCCTGTGACTAAGCTCCGGCTAAAGATTTCATGGAAGTGATATGTCCAACCTCTGGGTTGTACTCTCAGAGGGAAGGAGAGTGCCCTCCCCTCTCTGGTTTCCACTAGAAGGCTGGAATGCATCCGTAGTGATGAGACATCTGGGTGATAGAATGAAGGGTGATACCTCATGGAAGGTGGCGAAGCAGAGGAGCCAGGGTCTCTGGAAACTTTGTGAACTAGAGCCGCCATCCCAGCTCAGACTTTTTTGAGAAGAAATAAGCTTCCATTTTTTAAGTCTAGGGTCTTTGCCTCTGTTGTTTTGGGCCTTTGCCATGGTTTCTAAATTGATTAAAGGACTCTTATAATGAACAGAACAATGCAGTAGCGCCATAGAACCAGTCACCTGCCCACCGCCACCATCAGTGCCCCTTCACTCAAAAAAAGGAGAGGATTCCTGGGGGAGGGGCCAGTCCTGGCTGTGGGTCGTGGCTGCTCCTAGGAGCAGCTGGTATGGTTACTGCAGACAATTGCCTCTAACACTACTTGACAGGGAAGCCCATTTGCTTATTCAGGAGTGTTTTTGAGTAATATGCACAAAACAAAGGAGCCGGTGATTTGCGGTGTTTCCATGGCGGCAGCACAACTACCTAAAACACTACCTGCTTGCCTGCTGGAGAAAGCGAACACCATGATGTCATCAAAGGTCCAGGCGTAGTCCTGGTGCGGGGGATGGAACACCAGCTTGTCAGAGGCGGCCTTCCTGAGGTTGATGAGGAACGTGGAGTGCACCATGGGGACGGGGAAGCAGCCTGTCTTCTTCCATTCTCTGATCTGAAGGTAGTCCGGAGTCCGCTTATAGAAGCCCTGAAAAAGGGCCAATGGGTGCGTTATAGTCTCTGATCTGAGGGCTTCATCTTTCCCAGTCTTCTGCTGGGCTGACTCCTTCTAAGTCACCATCAGCTAAGTAGAAGTCCCCAGGGAAAGTCACCTTTGCTCTTCCTGTTTTGGCCAGAGAATTTCCACTGGAGTTCAAGAAATGCTACTTACATATAAAACAACACTAAAACGGTCTGGTTATCAGAAATAATTTTGGTTTCAGCATATGTCTTGATTTAATAATTGCATAAAGGTATGTTTTATGTTGGCTTATGATTGACTATTGAGTATGTGTATTAAGAGGTGGTAGGGCAGAGCCGTTAAGAGCACAGGTTCTGCTATCTGGCTGCCTGAGTTCAAATCCCACCTCAGCTACTTACTGTCTCAGGGTTACTCAACCTTGCTGTGTCTATTTTCTCATCTGTAAAACAGGTATAATGGCATTATCTACTCTTAAGGAGTTGTCTGTAAAAATTAAGGTAAAATTTGAAAAGTGTGTAGATTAGTGCCTAGCACCAAGCAAGCTCAATAAATATTAGCTATTAAAATTATTTCACTACACTGGCTAATATTTTTAAGTACATACAAATAGGGCCCCCTTTCAATGCAATTACGTATTCAGTATTCTGGTGGAGATGCCATTGCTTCACACGTTTTGGGGATTCCCTTCTTGAAAATTCCTTTCAGACAAGCACACAGGACAATGAAACAACCCAGCTTGTTTTCCCACCAACTCAACTGTTCAGACAACATTTACTGAGTGCTTCTGTAATCCAGGTATGATGTTAGATGCTGGAGACTTAGCAGTAAGTAGGCAACCCCAATCTCAGCCCTTGTGGAGAATCCACTGGAGTTTAAGTGGCACCAATTATAACTTCCCTGTTGCCAAAGCTCAAATGTATTCCTGAAAAGATGAGATGCATCTCAACAAAACGTACTTAAAAGTATGTGGAAGCTTGGGAAGGCATTTCCCAAAATGTTCTAGGTAACAGCAGGCTCGTGGAAGGAGGGCAAAGGTTCATGTGGCACAATTTTTGGTGGATGATAAGTCCTTGTTATTTACTAATCAGTCACGTTACTGTAGGGTCACGTTTGTGTAGTGATGTCTATACACACACAATAGACACTTCAGCCTCTTCTACTTTCCTGTCATTACCTTCAGAGTCGAGATGTGTGTTCTTACTAGGCTAACCCTAACACTGACCATGTGAAAAGATAGACTCACAAAGTAAGACTTAGAAGATGTGAGTCTTAGGTTCATCTTAAGCATCTTCTAGCTGTTTGATCTTGGCCCATGCTTAACCTCTTTGAGCTTGAGTTTCTTCTGGAACGTGGGATTAACAGCTGGTTTGTCTGTTTCTCACAGGGCTGCAGAATGCATCCCATGTGATAAGGTCTATGAAGATACTTTGAAAACTGTAATTCATTTCATGTGGTGTTATTATTACTACAATTTTTAATTAGCCTTTGTAACTTAAGGATCGCTTAACATGCTTTGATTTATGAGCATTCTTCCAACAGATAAAAGAAACACTGTTTCTCTAAAGGACTGCCCAAGATAAAATTCTAGACTACTTAGAACAATATTCTCATAAGGAGAAGCTTGGAAAATTCATGGTGATTAATGAATCACTGAATATTCTGGAGGTAGGGAGAAAAGAAGCAGAGAAAGAGAGTGAAAGAATTAATATGCCTCCTGCAGACAGGTGGGGCAATAGATGTGGCCCTTTGTCCACATAAATTGGATGTTTTTGGTAGTAATTCCTGTTGATTGGCTGAAACACCAGGGTCATTTTGTTTTGGATGTGTTTAAAGGCTCTGGAAACCAGGACCTGTCTTAAGCATATGAAGTCACTGGCTGCTTCTTTTCCTGCCCCAGCCTTGGCCTGACCGGGGAGGGTTGAAAGCCAAAAACGAAGAGACAAATTAGAATTGCCCCTATGTTGCTCAGATTACACTTTTACTGTGCAAAATAAAGGAGTTCATTTCTCTTATTTGCTTTTAATGACTAAAGCAAACAAAGAGGTGACAGGAACCTAGAGGCCGTGGTTTCTAGGATAATCCACCGTTGTTGCTGGTGTCCACGATCATTAACTTCACAGCCCTCAAGTGATTCTGCCATGGGAAACTGCAGATTATTAACTGAGAATGTATGAATTTAAATGAATTTACTATACTGTTTTCTCCCCAAGGAACTGAGCGGCTTTTATTTATATGAGTTTAATGCTTCCCTAAAAAAAAGATAGGATAACATGCATTCAAAATCTCTTGTAACGGCAGGAAATAATTGTAACAGAAGAGGAACACCTCATCCAGTAGTGTGCTTGAGCCACTGGTTGTTAAATTCTCGGGAATTTTGCAAACTTGTTGACATGTAGCTCAAAATCTGCAGAAATAAAAATCATGTCAATTCCTACCTGTCCACCACCACCACAGACAGCAGCCTTGCATATTTTTCATAATTATGTTGTCAAGTGGTTATACAACAATTTACTTAATCTTTCCCTTAGTTTAAACATTTAAGTTGTTTGCATAGTGGGAGTACTTGCACCATGAAAACTAGCAAATGCTACCAATCAGGGTTATTTCTCCCTATGGGCAGCCAATTATTAAACATTTATCAGCACACCACTGGCCTCTTTCTTTATCTAAATCTAAACAAAAGAGGGACTCAAAAGTTAGCTCTTGAGCATGAGAACACATTTAACATACATTTTTTTCCCTTAGCATATCTTTATTCTACATTGATGGATACTATATTGGTCAGTTTAATTTCTCTCTCTAAATCATTAATTAAGAATACAAAATATCAGTCATAAGCATTCACTTTAACAGATCTATTGTATAATGGGAAAGACAGATGGAGATTTTGAATTTTGTTAAAACAAGATACTAGCATAGCACAGAGAAGACAAATATTGACTCCAGCATGTTACTACACTGACAGACAGTGATTGCAATGGGGTGTGGGGGGCTTGATAATATGGGTGAATGTTGAAACCACAATGTTGCTCATGTGAAGCCTTCATAAAATTGTATATCGATGATGTCTTAATTTTAAAAAATACACATAAAAAAACAAGATATATAGCAGTTCTAATTATTAGATCTCTTTGGAAATAAATTTGGCAACATAAAGGTCACCAAAATATTTATACTCTGACCCAGTAATTTCATTTCTAAGAAGCTATCCTAAGAAAATAATAGTAAATACAGAAAAATTTATATTAATCATGATGATCTTATAACAGTTAAAATTTGCAGACAACCTAAATGTTTTTAATTTAGAGAAAGGTCAAGTAAATTGCATTATAGCTACTTGATTTAGTTATTCAAATCATGCAAGCTGTTATCTATGATGTTAGAGTAGTGAGAATTAAGGTGTTTTTTTTATATTTCCCTATTTTTCTATAGTGTACTTATGTTAAATTTAATGACAAAAAAATAATTTAATTTTTAAAAATCTCTTAATCAGGGAGGAAAAAAGTACAAATCCCAGAAAACTTCCTTAGCTAATTTAAAGCTTCCAAGGCTAAACTCATTAAGATATTTTCTTCATAATTCATTAATACACAGGAGCTCATTGGACACTGCATTGGACCTGGATTTACCTCCTTTCCTGAAAATGCTTGCTGTAGGAACACAATGACATGCATATTTCAAGGTAGGAAATAAGACAAAGAAGAATGGGACTACTGGTGACATATGGCTCCCTGTTGAAACTTATAGCCTGAATACATAGGCCAAAAGACTTGCCTGAGGTGTGATTCCGCACCAGAAATTAGAGTACAGGCCCCGGGACTCCAGCATGGGGGCCACAATGGTTTTGTTTTCTGCAATCATTAGACTGAGGGTCTGTGGATTAGTCAGGAAGTTGTCAACATCTATGAACTGGGGAAAAAAAAGGGCAATGTCAAGCGAAGAGAGACTTTTCAGTAATGGGTTCAAGAGCAAGCCTGCACTTCCAAACGGTCACAGAGACTTGCTTGTGAACATGGAACCAGTTATCTACGTGCTCCTTACTGAAACTCCTCACAGCTGGATGGCTTTCATTCAGGCAAAACTCGTTTAGTCTCACTTCCACATCTAGCTGTGCGTAAGGTACCAAGCAATGAATCAGTGTTACTGCACTGGGTACATGCTCAACCAGGACCCAACCTTCACCTTGGTGAGTGGTTGTTAATCACCAACAGCTCCCACCAGCTCCAAAAGACTCATGCAAAAACAGTGATTGAGTACCCATTCTAGGTACAGATGGACAGACTTATTTAGGTTGTCTACATACCAGAATGACTCAAAACAGATCCATCAATGCCATTTTAATGCTACAGGTAAAATTTTTGTTGAGAGTACATTATATCCATGTTTATCAATGATGCTATTTCCCGTTCTTAGCAGAAGTCCCTGTTAACACTGATTCATTACAGGGATGTGATCACAACAGATTCTATCATAAAATAAGTCATTACACTGAGCTGTACATTTAAAAATGATTAAAATGGTAGATTTTATGTTATGTGTATTTCATTACACACACAAAATAATCTGAAGCGTTCATTCCTATAATAGTCAATCTGTTTACCCAAAACTGGTTCCGAATTTTTGTACACTTCAATGACATCTAAACAGCTCTACAATATTAAATATCATCAGCACAGTTTGAAAACATCTATGAAATTATTTGCAGTGAAAGTATGTGCGTGTGATAAATGAGTGGGCTGATTTCTGTTGTGCTTGAGGGGCCTGGATAGACATAGGACAAGTATTTCCTTTATGAATCAGAGCCTAGTGACAGAGAGCTAGTGTGGACAAGTTTAATGCAACAACATTGGTTCTGTTTCATTGGCGTTATTTCTATTGTTGGACTAGAAAACATTTGCCAAAAGATTTAATGCTTGTAGGGGAACTACAGATGAAGAATCTGGTTCCCATTAACATGTGGGGACAAAAGTATCTGTCAGTTTTCAAAAGGGAAGTGGGGACTGGCTCATTGCTATACAGGCAGCTGTCCTGCTTGCCCACTGAGAGGTTCCTGAAAGACAGGGACGGAATATAACACTGCTTCCTAATCATCAGGCCCAGCATTTTCTGGACCACTCTGGAAGTTCTAAGGGAAGTGATGGAACCTCTTCACAGGGACATATTCTCCATGAGAGCCCAGTATAATCAGGAGCAACCAGAAACCAAGCAAGAGATATTTCCAAAATGACTCAGGAGCAAAAAGGAATGGCGTTTTGGAGGGATTAATTTAAATCTCTTCTTATATAATTAATGCCTCATGTCTGAAGAATTCTCCTAGAAGGTTATTAGGACAATTTGCATGGCTTTGCCTGCAACATACCTATTCCATGAAAGAGATCAAATAATTCAGGAGCTTATTCACTTATGAAAATGCATGTCAGGAGTGAGTCTGAGATGGAATCCAGGTATCCCAACAATTTCTTTCAATTTTTTCTAATGTTTCCCTTGTCCCTTTCTGTAAATGTGGGGAGGCAATGCCTAAGTGAAAGATTGTTTTAATTGCTCTCACAGGCCTAGGTTTTGGACAATTGATTTGGACACATTCTAGATAACAGTTGTCAATAAATCAAATATCTGTTTTACCAGAATGTAGTCTGACCATTTTTCCCTCGCCGTTCGGAGGGCTGCCTGTCGGAGCTTCATCACGTGGGCAAACCGGGAGCTTGGCCAGTGCTTTGGTCCAATTTCATCAGGATAAGACCTAAAAGAGTAATAGTAATAATAGCTTATGATGAATATATATTGAATGTATTACAATTAACATGTATATAAAATACAATCATAGCTCATAATAAATATGAGTGCCTATATATTCCAGGCCTCTCCTAAAGGTTTATATGTACTAACTCACTTCATCTTCCATCATCCCTAGGAAGGAAATACTATTATTGTTATCATTATCCCCATATTACAGATAAGGAAACTAGAGCCAGGAGAGATTCAGTAACTTGTTGCTTATCATACACAAGAATCCCTCAATGAAATAGTTCAGTGCATTCCAACAAGAGCCTACTGAGTGTTTATAAGGCAAGTACTACCATTCTACCCATTTCACAGATGAGAAAACCAGTATAGAGTGGTTAAGGCATTTACCTGATTGACACAGTTAATAAAGAGCACAGTCAGGATTTGAATCCAGGCATAACCCCAAAGCCCATGTTCCTAGACATTTTTTTAATACATTCTTCCATCAAATAAATCTGGAAATGTCTCAGCATAAAAATATGAGTTTTCCAAGGGAAAAAAAAAAGGTTCCATTTGTTTGATCAAGTATCAGCAAGGGATTCCGCAGACCTTAACACATGCATCTGTTCCAGGTAGAGTGAGGTCATGGAGCAGATGCGTAATCATGGGGATTTCTGTCAGCAGCCACAACACAGCTGGGCCAGGCCTCTTACATGGCCACATAGACAAGGGGGTTGGCATCCCCTCAAGAATCCTTTTGAAAGCTCCCAACTGGTATGGACATCGATACTGTCACAGGGGCCCCAAACTGGCCACCACTTCAAGTTCCTGTAACTGTGCTGGCAGTACATTTGCCTTAGTGAATGAAAAACCACAAAAACAATGAGACTGTAACTATACAAACATGATAAATAAAATTATATTTTGCACAGGAATTCTCTGGAATGCCTTCCCCAATTATTCAATGACAATCTGTAGAAGTTCTGCTTTTCTGAATATGCTGTGCAAAAAAATGCCTTCCCTACTATTTTTCACACTGCATACAATATATTTAGTTGAAATCTGAGTACAGAGAAAGTTATCAGATGCAATGTGGGTATATGACATCTTTCTGGGTCATTCAATTTAGGCCAAATTCCATTATAAGAAACTCCAGAACAGTGTTCAAATCTCTTATAATGTTCAAATTTCATTGTTAAATTTTATATAATATATGGACTTGAGATATATGTGTGTATGTATATGTATACATACATATATATAGTACTATAGACAGAGAAACTAAAAAAAAAACTTTTCTCTGGAATGGCACTTATTGTTATTATAATACAAATTTGGCTTTCAATAAATGATTTCTTGGGGCACAAATGCAGACAATTCATTCTACTACAATTCCTTAAGTTAGAATTGTAGTATCCTTGGTAACATTTATAATAGTTTAAATATGTTTATTCATATTGTCACTCATTTTTCCATCCAATATTGACTTAATGTCCACCGAGAGCATAGCATTAGGGGGAAAATATAAAGTATTTGTATACTCTAGTCCCTGCCCAAGAACCCAAACATTGCTTAGAAAAAAAATGCATAAATTACAAACTTAACAAAGTTAGTTCAGTGCATTGTAATAAAAAGGAAAATGTAGAAAATAAGGGTTGAGAGAAAGAAAGATCATTGGAATGATTAGCAACAGCTTTCTGTAGCAGATGTACTTTGGAATAAGATGGATGCAAGTAGGAAATTGTTTATGGTTAAGATGGAAAATAACCTAAATGTTCATCAGTAGGGGACTGATTAAATAATTATGGTATGGCCATACAATGGCTACTATGCAGTCATAAAAAATGAAGAAACTTCTGAATTATAACCATGGAATGATTACCAAGATATGATAAGTGAAAAAGCTAAGTGAATGTTGAAAGTATACAAACTTTTCATTTTGATCCTTCAAGTATAAAATGTATATACTCAAAATATGAACAAATAATATCAATATTTTAAAACATATACTGCATGGTAGTTTATTTGTGAACTAAGGAGAATCTGAACAAAGGAAGAAAGGGCAGATCTTTGTAACTTACTTGATACAGAGATGATAGGCAGGAAAAGTCACCTGTACCTCCAAGGCTGGAAGCCTGAATGGCTGGAAAACTGGTTAAGGAAGGAAGGAAAAATAGAACCAACACAATGTTTTCTTGCTACTCACTCTGGTTCATCCAAAGGCCTCCACTCCACATAGTGATAGGCTTTCTGTACATTTTTCAACCACTCCCTGAGTATTGCTGTTGTATTATCCACATTGTGATCGGTGGCTGCCCTGCATGGGAAAGCACAATATAGTTCAGTTGTCATCCAAAGAAGGAGGGGCCCGTCCTAAAGACCCCAGATTAGTTGAATATGGCCTGTTCTAAAAAAAATTATATATATGAACATGATTCTGTTATGGTCTGAACTAGACAATGAATTTCTGAATTAAGAGATACTGCTTAAAGTCATCTTTGTGTCCTCAGATCCATAAAAAGGGCTTGGCCAATAGCAGAATCAGTAAGTGGTTGTATGAAGACAGTATAAGCCTAAAATGAATTAAACAGGAGTAAATTAATCTAGGAAATTTTCCTATTTGATTTAATTGTTAGTTATTCAAGGTGAAAACTCTGCCTTTAGCTTCACTAACAACTACCATCAATTTAAGCAATAATTCAGTTGCATGTTCATTTCAAGTTTGTTTTCAGATCACAAAAAAAATTTCCAGACAGTGGTGTGGAGGGGAAAGCCACAGTCAATTCTCAATATAAAACTCAAAACCTAAGATATCTTCACCTACCTATATGACGCAAAAATCCTAGATAAAGTATTAGCAAACAGAATTCAACATCTTATTAAAGAATATTATATAGCATGGCCTAAGATTGTTCAATATAAAGGAAATCCATTAGTGTAATTTACTATATCAATAGACCTGAAGAAAAATCATGATTATCTCTGTAAATGCTAAAAAGATTTTCAACACAACTCAATACCTATTCCTGAGTTTTTAAAACCACAGTGAATAAAATTATGAAGGAAGGAGGGAAGGGCAAACAGAAAAGACTCATGGGAAGAGAGAGGTGTCTGAGACTCTTAAAAGGTGGTAAAAATATTTAGGTTTTACTGGCAATTCTGCAGTTCCTTCTGGGAGGGAAAACTATTGGCATTATCAGCAGTAGTGGTTCGCTAGGAGCATAGTCTTGATACGAGCCAATGAAGACATGGAAACAATGGTTACTTTTTCCATATATGGCAATTTCAATAAATAGGATTTTGTTAAACCCAATCTATAATGGCTTTTGCTCTTCCTACTTGAGATTTTGTAGGTCACTGCTGCTCCATCAGTAACAAATGAAATCTTTACCAGAATACTCAGGAATGTTCCAGAGAACAAAAAGTACAGCAAAGCATAGTGGAACCTCACTCTCCAAAGGAAATAAATTTCTGTGAAGCACTGAGTAACTTAAAGCTATGCAATTTCAGTCATAAGGTATAGAAAAATGGGGGCTAGAGGTTTATGACTGATATTTGAAAATCTTATTTTGTAAAATGGATATTTGAATTAAAACTAGCCTTATGAAAAAAAATAGAGGACCTGGAGGTGATGCCATGGATCTGTTTTCCAGCCTCTTCTGGAAGTCAATTAGAACAAGCTCTTCCCTTCAGAACAAAGTCTAGGCGGGAGGAAGACATACATGCCCACCTGGACATTCCACCACCTAAAGGGGGAGGTGATGTGTGCAGCTGACTGAGGGAACCAGGTGAGCACCTTGGCACAGTGACAGGATGGTACGAGAGGTGGGAAAGTGGACCAGAAGCATCGTACAAGAGGGACATGGGCTCCATCTAGCTTGTGTGAAGAAGAGCAGCATGCCAGTAAGAATCACATCCACTGTGACACACGGCCGCAAGCTACCAACAGGCAGTGACATAGCCATGCAGGGCACACTCCTCCCACAGTGAAGCATGTGGGAGCAATTCCCAAGGCCAGGAATCAGGCCTAATGCACATTATTCTTTGCTCAAAATATTAAGAGTAAGAGTAAGTTTAAAAAAAATATATCGACTACCGTGATAGCCAAAAGTTCTGCGAATTCTGTATTATTCCCAAGTTCCTTACAAATAGTATAGAAGAATTTATATAACATTTCTTTCTTTCCTTGGTTATTGTTTATTACACAGGACTTAAATTCTCTTAGCCCTCCCTACACACTGATGCATTTCCTAATCATTTTAACAAAGTTTAACAAAATTTCATTGTATGAAATTTATTTTCATGGCATGCAGACTAACCAACTGAAAGCTCTGCCTGAGTGTCCACCACTGACAAACATCCTTAGAAACGAGCTGCCGGGAGTACGCAAAGACAGAGGTGTCTAATGAACAGCGGAAGCATAGATTTTAAACACTCTCCCTATGAGTTACATTTTTTTCCTATACAGTCACTGCTCCAAATTGTTAAGATTCTCTTTGTTCTCAGGCTTCCAGGGAAATGAACAAATCCCCCAGCTGTGGCCGGAGGTCCATGGACACTTTGATGTGCAGGGCCAATCTCCTGCTCTGTCCCAGAGGAAGAGCGCCGCGGACCACACCAGCCCACTGGGGAAGGCTCGCATCCACTCCCCGAGTGAAGGCAAATAAACAGAAATGCAGCAGACACTTCTAACTGCGGCCTTTTAATCCCACTGTCAAAAACATGTTTCCATTTGAATACATAATCATGAAAGCATGCAGGCTCTGGTCTATTCAGGGGGCTGGCGAGAGAGATAGCAAAGGCCCAGAGCAAGTTCTCTGGAGGAAACACGAGGCTTGAGTTACCAGTGAAGTTTTCAGAGTCCCGTGGAACAACGCAACAGTGTGGTGCCTGTCCTGCTGTGAGCCTCCACAAGCAACCTCACTCAAAACGCTCTGCAGAGATGGATTTTTCCATCAGAATTATGGATTTTTCTGGGAAGCTGAGGACACAGGATGTGTGAGTCCCTTCAGGAGAAGCCAAAGCATCTCTCCCAGCCTGAAAGCTCCTTTCCATCCTGGAGAGAACCAGGGCTTCCCAGGGTCAGCTGCCCTTCCCCCAGTCAGACCGGGAAAGGCCACAGACATCATTAAAGAATGCCTTGAAGAAAACAAATGATGTGAAGAGACATCTGGAGAGGTGATCTGAAGATGATTACAGTCTCTAATCAAGCTGGAAAAGCATTCTCGTGAAAGTACATGCTGTCTGGAAGACCAAGATGCTAGGAGGCTAAGACTGTTCCCTCTTTGCCTCAACTCTCCCTACCACCGTGAAGTCATTCTTAAATCAACAACTCTTCCCTTCTGTCTTCCCTGGGTCTCTCTGGCTCAGGATAAGAGCAAGGAGAGCTCAGCTCTTGAGCTGTGCTGGTCCTTAGACAATTCATCTTCTTCGAAGGCCATGTTGGGATAGTGACTTCTCTTCATCTCTCAGAAACACCACGCCCTGCCAGCCACTAAGGGGTCTCCCTCTCTCCGTGTAGGAGAGCTGTGGCCCGACACAGCTGTGGTGTGGTGGTCAGTCCCCTCTCTACCCATCAGTTCTCGCTGGCTTCCTTTGGAGCTCGTACCTGAAATAGAAGAGCTGGTAGAAACAGGTGCAACACCCACTTGGCCTTGGAGGGAAGTTAAGGCCATTTCACCCCATAATGCTGCCCATCCACTGTCTCTCCGATTCTGGTTCTAGTTCCTATTTCCTGTTTGCCTCCCTCGTCTCTCGCTATGCATGTAGCAGGGCCCCATGCGTCTCAGAGTCAAAGTCAAATGAGAACAAAAGTAAACATAGTGCAAATACAATCAACAACATGGGCAGGGATTTCCTCGGCTAATGAAGCTTCAGGGCCAGCAGGTGCATTGTCACCATGAAGGAAAAAAGTGGAGTTCATTGAGCAGACCAGCGAATAAACACGTCTGCAGGACAACATAACTTTAGTACTTGGCCGTGGCCAAAAAAAAGAAATTGAGATTTCTCTGGCAATGTCTAATCACACTGACATTTCAGAAGGTCTGTTTTCATTCCCCAGTCTTGGCTCTCAAACTAATAGCCAACTTGAAATAATTAGAGCTGACTCATTTATTTTGACCACAAGTCCTACTGAGTTTGTGCAGGCTGAATTCACACCGGCAGGGGTGGGGCCACTGGAGCTGTGGTAAAGATGTAGATTGCAGGTCTCAGCAGGTGGAATGCGCACTGAGGACAGCGTACTGCTGATCACTTCCATCTGCCTTGACCCTCGGGGAATGTTCTCCACTTCCCTGCCGCTCCAGAACGTCTAGAACAACAGGACTGCGATCGCTGGAGCGGGATGATGGCAACACTGTGCAGCCGTCGATCTTTGTTGCTGAGGAACCTGTAAAATTCATCCCCCAGAGGCTCGAGGGAACGGTGGTGGAATGAGCAATAAAGTTAAGTCACCACCTGGACTCTCCGCACCATGACGAGTGTGTTGGCAAAAATGAATTTTCCAATTTAAGACTTCAAAACCTGAAGTTCCCTCCTAAACTGCCTCTTGTTTTCATCCAGCAAAGAAGACTCATGGGTATAGGAAATAAAGAGCTCCACCTAAAAATAAAATCCCACTTTGGGAAGCAACTGGTGAAATTTATTTTCAAGAAAGGTCACGTCATCGAGTCCCACCACCCCTGCCTATGTTCTCAGCAGTTCTGCGAAGGGGAAGAGATGCTTGGTCACATGGCAAAAGGTGATGATGGATTCTGGCTGCTTGGTTACTGTGGAGAGCTGTTTAAAGATCTGGAATTGTCTGCCGGGGAGAAACTAGATGTGAATATGGTTAAGGATATAGATATATGAACTGGGTGCTGGGGATTTCTTCCAACAAAAGCTTTTTCTTATGTCCTACCATGTCAACAGCAGCAATTTTACCTAATGAACTAAAAATCAGGAAAACTCACTTCTCATGGAACTCTCCTCACCAACAAAATTAATGTTTATATTCCTGCAACATCCCTCCTCAGTATATCTCATTTAATTTCAGAAACAAGCATAGACATTGTACACTGAAGCCTGGGTAAAAGTAATGTAAAAAGAAATGTTTGATTCTGGAAATGTGATCAACCAACGTATAGATTTCATTCCTTCAGGGCAGGAATGAGAAAGAGTAAAATTTGCCAATTGACCAGTTAATAGTTAATTCAAAAGCCCAATACCATTTTAATGAAATCAATATGAACTTAAACATATTACAAATGAGCCATTCCTTGATACATTCAACTCTGAGCTATAGTTTTCCTCTCTTGGTGTTAACCCCTCACCCGTACGTCATGCATTACCCCACTGGGAGCCTTCTGGCTGCCTAGGTTAGGCATTGCTGTCATCTCCCGCGTTATAGCAGAGAAGTCTGAGGATGAGCCGTTCTGACTTGCTCAAAAGTCATACAAATGGTGGGTGTTAGAGTTTGGACTTTTCCTTCAGGCCTTCTGAAGCCCCTTCCCCACCCCAGCTCAAACTGCACCCCTCACTCCACTGCACTTGCCTACAGAGAGCAGATGCCCACCCATCCAATTGGAAGGAATCCTCTGCCTTGTCAAAGACATTAATGAACCCTACCAGTATCACCACCTCAGAATGAAAGGATGGACATGCTCCTGCAGGAAATGAAACAAGAAAAATGGGGAGATTTATCAATTTGCTATAAGCTTCATTGAATTCACTTCAGTATAATTTTCCTTGGAGCCAAAACCCTTGGGATTCTATGCAAATATCAGCAGCTATGTCCATAATGAGATAAATGTGTTTCTCGTTTGTCTAAGAGCTTTTTTCCTGTTTTTTTCTCCTTTGGCCTTGGTTGTTTCTTCTTCCCACTCATTTTCACCCAGTCCTCATTTCCTCTTCTCTCTTCCTTGCTGGATTTCCCAACTCTATTAAGTTTTTATTTTTTTGGATGTTCCCTGAAGAAATGGAATTACTAGCAAAGTGTTCCTGCGTAGTCAACAACTAGAGCACTGATCCTAAAATAGAGGACACAACGGACCAGGAGCCCCGAACCTCTCTACCCACCAACACCTCAGACTAGACCTGATGCCCCATATCTGTAATGGCACCAATTCCCAGCCCACACTCCCAGCATTACACTTGGCTCTTGTATTAAAATTAACTGGTTCTATCTTCCTCTGTTACCCGATGCTCTTCCCCCTGGTAATTGTCCTGGTGCCTAACAAAGTTTGCTGTGTAAAATAGGCACTAATCATGGGCTTGATGGATAAATGAATGAACAATTGGAGGGGAAGTCCCCAATCCCACCCAAAGGCCTAAGACTGAGCACAGAAAACATAAAGGAGGGAGCTGAGAGTGTGGGAGGAAGATTATTAAGAGGAGACACATGCCCGCTTCAGCTGATTGGTGCCATGCTAGGATGTGTGCCCAGAAATGCTAGATTGTCCAGTTGTTTTGAGAGAATTCAGATATTGAGGTTTTAGAGATAAAAGTCTATTTGTAACCTACAAGAACTTTTAAGCTGAAATGTCATGAACGTATTCCAGTACGACAGGGGCTCTCTGGAAACCAGGAACACAACACAACGACCACATTATTTCAGCTCTTAATGGTCCTGGTACATCCACCTGTACATGCTCAGGGCACATAGTTCAGTAATTAAATATTTCCATTATGGCTGGGAGGATAGCAATAAGGCCACTTCACTGCTTTCACAAACACAGAAAGCGTTTTCACTGAAAAAGGGAAGGCAGATATGCACTGATTGAACAAGGTCTAATTAAGTCAGTCTAATAGAAGTAGAACTGGAAAAAGCAATAATGCAGGCACCATGGGATGAGCATGAGGTTACATGTCCCACAAACACCACATACAACCTCATTTTGCATAGCAGCTAAAGCATATTTATTGCGCCAATTTTCTAAACACCTTTTTTGAGATATAATTCACATACCGAACATTGACTCTCCTAAAGTGTACGATTCAGTGGTTTTCCGTATGGTCATTAAGTTGTACAGCCATTGCCATTATCTAATTCCAGAACATTTTTGTCACCCTGAGAAGAAACCCTGACCCCCATAGCAATCACTTCTTATTCTCCCTTCTCTCCAGTTCCTGGTAACAACTATAAGCACTATTTTACTTTCTGTCTCTATGGATTTGCCTTTTCTGGACATTGTGTGCAAAGGGAATTATATGACTGTGCTTTTTGTGTCTGACTTTTTTTACTTCACACAATGTTTTCCAGGTTCATGCAGGTTGCGTACTTTATATATTTATGTCTGAATAGTATTTCATAGTATGGATATACCACATTTTGTTTATCCATTGATCAGTGAATGGACATTTGGGTTGTTTTCACTTTTTAGTTATTACAAATACTGCTGTGATGAACATTCATGTATGAGTTTTTGTGTGAACATATATTTCCATTTCCCTTGGGATTACTGCCCAAATTTTAAGTATTATGGGAAGTGAAGAAAACATTTTTTAATTCTCTTTCATTTGTGGAGAACCCACTCTATTACTGGCACTAAGCTGGGCATTTGTATATGTATGTATATATATATATACATATATATATATATATATATATGTATATATATATATATATAACTCTAATCCTTATAGGAATTCTCAAGGTAGGTTTTATTATCCTCATCTTACAGATGATGAATCTGAAATTTACAAACTCTCTCTCAAAGTTTGTTCTCTTTTCACTTACACTTCATCTCTGATGTGTGTGTGTGTTTTTTTAATTTCTGAAGAGCTCAGTTTTCTGTTTGAACACAGCAAGGAGGGATCCTCTGGTCTGCGATCTGAATATCTTAAGGCTATGACATGCACAGATGCAATCTGGGAATGTGGGGGCAGTTACAAGCATGCAAGAAGTGTTGGGTCTCAGCAGAGGAGCTGGGCAAATGCCACCGATGTCAACAGTCAGTCCTCAGGGCTAGCGGGGCAATGCCCCAGCCAAACACCTGAAGGACCCTTGAAACATGAGGTCGTGATGAAGCGGGGCCAGCATGAGCACAGGGAAGCCACAGCCCAAGGACTGGCTTTGCTAAATGAAGCCCGATGGGAGGACCCGCCACCAGGAGCCACTCTTCTGATGCAAAGGAAAACTGGCTGGCCTGGGCTAAAACTGTAAAGGCCAAGTGGTCATTTGGGGGCAGATCAGGAGAAAGCTGAAAGTGTCCGTGTTCTGTATAGGAAGGTTTACTTTGATTCATTCATTTCTGGAGACAACTGCAGCTGAAAATAACAGTAAATATTTTAGTTACCCTTTCAGCCTGGGTTATTGGCACTATTATTGAACTAACCACATCCTTAATCAAATAGAAAAGCATGAAGTCAGGAGACATGGCTCTTCTGCTAAAGATTAAGCTCTATAATCTTTATGAATTTGTTTGAACTCTTAGTGCCTCGCTTTTCATCAGTGACATGGAGTAGGAACACCGGCTGTTTGCACCTAGTCAGTGGGGTACTTGGAAGTGCCAACAGCCTGGGAAGGAACCTGCTAGAACACTTTGGAAGCTGGCATCTCTCTAGCTGTTCCCAATACACACACACACACACACACACCCTCAAATAAAAATAAGACAGCCTGTTAAATAGGCTCTTAAGATGCATGCAACAAAGTTCAACACACTCTTTTAAGACAAACAAACCAGAATTATCACAGTCTACATTTTTTAAAGAATAAATGCACATGTCCATTTAAAAAACAAGATGAAATACTGTGGCAAAGACTGCTAATGGTCTCCGTATCAGTTTCCTCTTCTCCCCTGGGAACATGTCTAACTGTACCTGTGACCATCCAGCTGAAGGAGTGGATTGTAAGCTCCATGTCAGTGGGGATGTTTGTTCTGTTTGCTGTTCTATCCCTAGTAGTTAAAATTTTAGTGCCTGAAACATAGTATGTGCTCAACAAATATTTGTTGAATGTTCCTTTCTCACCACCCTTCTAACCTAGTAAGAACTGTAAAAACACCTGTACGGTTCTCTCAGTCCAATAGATGCCTGGGCCTCTCCTCTGGACCAGGTGCAGGAAAACACCACTGCCCTTGGTGTCAAGGTGCTCCCAGTTTAATGAGAAATGCAGGTATAGAAATAAATAAGTGTAATTTGGCGAGACGTTTGCCACAATGGATATATAACAAGGTGTCCGGGTGCCAGAGAGGACAGAGGGGCCAGAAAGGTGGGAAGGGTCACAGGATGAGATGTCTGAACTGGAATTTGAAGAATAGCAGATATTTAGGAGGAGGTAGAGGTAGAATATTCCAGAAGGAAGAATGATATGTGTGGAGGCAGAGAGGTGTGAAGTAGTATGTTGTGTTCGCAGAACTATGTGTAATTTGTTGGTCTAGGGCTTCTACATCAAGAGAGTGAAGTGGCTGCTGGTTAGGGGTGACGCAGCTGTCCTTGGGAATGGGAAACATGTGGGAAGCAATGAAGATGTTTGCCTCACTTTCCTGGTTCCCCAGAATCTTGCCCCTTCAGAAAAAATAAACTGGTGCATCATTCTCTGAATATATATATTTTGCCAGGTTGTGACAGGTATTGCCTTCACCATGATCCATTCTTTGAATTCCTTAAGGGAAATGCTCGAAAGACATAAGAAGTGCTGCCCCCCTTTATTCCATTTCCATACACAGGTTCAGCTGCCACAGATGATGGGTTTTCTGGGAAAAGTGTGATTTCTAACATGTTGAAACATTTTCTTCACAACTTCATTTATACTTCTCAGACCACGTGTCCATATTTCTCCCTCAAAAACTATGCCTGGGTCTTAGCAAACATCTAGCAGGTGCCTGTTGTAGGACCTAGTGAATAAATAAATGCCTGCATAAATTGATGACAAAATTTATGGCCTCCGTATTTACTAAGGGTCTCCCACTTATGCCAAAGAGGCAGTATATTTAACAGAATAATGCTCAACCTGTATAAAGCCTTTCGACTTTTTTAAGTCATGAAACTTCTTCCAGACTATGGGACTTGTTTCCCCATTCAAACAGTTGGGCTGAGAACACGAACGGAGACAGAACGTATCCAATTTGAAAACAGAATACAAGGCCATTTTCCCTCAGTCGCCAAAAATATACAAATTGGTTCCAGCCAAGAAATTTCTGTCCAGTCCATCACTGTTACCCAACACCTGTTGACTTGCTTCCAGGAATAACACTCCCAGCCAGCCCAGGAGGGAAAGAGAAAAGTGTATGCTTTGGATTTATCTGCTTGGAAAAGTTTTAAGTCTGTCTTCCCACATCATTTCCTTTGAGGTTTCTTGTCAGGGGGCGCGGTGGGGGTACTCCTGTATGGCAGGTGTGAGGCCTACATCCACACTCTATTCTCACACTCACATGCAAACTGAAGAGTACCAAGAAATGTTTTTGAGGACTTCTGAGTTATTTTACTCTTATTCGTGGTGTCAGAGGCAAACAGGAGGCTATTTTGACGGTATTTTTTCCCATCTCTATTTTGGAAAACTACCACTGGAGAGAAGGAACGCTGTGCTCCTTACCTTTCCAGGGTCCCTGTGGCTTTGTGACACACTGCTGAGCAGGGAGGCACGCACAGATACACAGCACACAGATGCTTCCCTGCTACCTTCATTACCCACTCCACTTCTGCACAGAGGGGAATAGCAGGAGAAAGCCTCAGCTGAGGGTTCCCTCCCCATCAGACAATGACCTAGAGCCCTTTAATTTGAACATTTAATCCTATGATGTAGTACTCTTATTAACCCATTGTAAAGATGGGGAAAATCATATCCCGGAAGGTGACACATCATGCCCCAGGTCCCAGAAGGTAGTAAGGGGGAGAGCTGAACTTGAAGTCAGACAGCAGGGCACAGACGATTATCTCGTTTAGCCACTACTCTGAGTCTCATTTTGAAACTGCACTTTTGGAGTGAAGTTTAAAGCAGAGGAAATACTTTAAAGAAGATAGAGAGTACATCACACTTTTTGTCTTATAAGTGCTGGATCTTTCGACAGGCTTTATGTTATTAGTAAAACTGCCACGCCACAGGAAGTTTATGTTACTTTAGAGCCCCCAGGGGTCACTGGCCCTCTTCTCTGCATGCCTCGGGAACAAACTGATCCAGCCAGTGCTCATAATTTTTAGCAATATCTTGATGAACAAATAACAAATTTGTATTTAACAATAACTGATTGATTTTTCTCTTTAATGTTTCTTGTAACTTAATTTTAACTTGGTTATCTCTTGCCTATTAGATAAGTTTAAGGACCGTTTTTGCCCTTGCTGTGTAATGGAGAAACAGGATTTAGGGGAAGGATGACTAGCTTTTTAAAAGCCTGCTCCAAATTTCATCTGATGACTTTGGAAGATAGGACAAGGATCCTGGATCTTAGACTTCCAAAGTCCTGAAGTGTTCCCCGACCTCCCCATGTAGGTCAAATCCCCTGGTTATACGTTCTTTAGGAACCATGCACCTCTTCTTTCTAGTACTTACCAGAATTGTAACTTTATACTTATTTCTAGGGAACTGAGTGATTTATTTCTCTCCTTGTGGTCTGTACATGGTGTGAGGGCAGGGATTCATTTGTCTTTTGTCATCACAGTGCAGTGCCTGGCATTGGCATTGAGTCAAGTGCTGCTAAATGAACTGAATCCGAGATTGCTGTCTTCACCCTTCTTTTTAATCACTAAATAGTTAAAATGTGGATGCTTCTGTGGTAAAAATGAAACACATAATCAGACAAGATGGGAGAAATATCTTTTGAGCACTCCCTGTCTGTTTCATAATCTGTATCTGGAAAGTCTGACTTTCAAGTAGGCCTGGGTACAGGTAGGGGCAGACACTGAATGGCACTGAGCTGTTGGAAGGCTCTGGGGGAGCCCAGTAACTCATGCTGGGTGAAGCAGGGAATGTGATCAGTTGCTCTAGAGGCAGCACCCAGCAGACATTTGGGCAGGGATGAGTTCAGGCAAGTGTAATTGTGGTCAATGGCCAGTATGGCAGCAGGTGAGTCATTCTCCCCTGTTTCCATTAGGGTGTGTCATTCGAGCCAAATTAAAAATCCAGCAAAAGGACTTGGCACTTATCATAATAAACAGTCTAATTCTAGCCAATTCAGGGAGAAGGCTGTGACCTCTCTTTCAGACCTAAAAGAGCATGTGATGGCTTCCCTAGGAGCAGGCAGCCCAAAGACAGCTCTTCCTTCCCCAGCCTCAGGTCAGGCCATATCTAAGGCATGCTGCAGTCTTCAGCTACTGCCATGTTCTCCGGAGGCACCATGGGAAGGAAGTCAATGATCCACTGTTCAAGGTTCATTTCCCCAGAATCTCCTGACCGTTTTTTCAGTTGCCTCTATAAAGTATCTCATGACATGCCCTTGGGAAAATCCTCATTTTCTTTCAA